GTTTGCAAGTAATTCAAAACTGTGTCATATACCTTTAATTAATTATTACGGTACTATTACTAGCTAAATACCCGTTCAAATGAATTAGAACGTATTGCATATGAAGCATGACATTATAAGAAAATTCACAACTATATTATCTTACTGTATATGCTTCCTAGATATTTTTTAAACGTTCATGAAGGTAAAAAAAGAATCAAGTACGTACAATAAATGTACAGCGACTAATTTATTTGGACATCACTTTCTAATTTTATGGCTACCTCAAATTGTTAGTCTTTTCCGACGTTAATCACAAGTAGTACAAAAATAAACATCGTAGTTATCCAAAGTAGAATTGTATTCCTCGCTATCAGCTTTTTGGACGGTCAAGAAACGAGCTGGATAAATAAACTATTTGTATCATGAATGGAATACAAATAAATCGGCCATTAAGACATACAAGTATATGATCTTTTAGTATATTTTTCTCCTTGTAAACCTCAATTTTTAACAACCCGTAAACATAAATATAAAAGATGCGATATATTTAGCAAGAATGCTTACTACATGACATGTGTGTGCAGGGCAGGGATATCCTAGATTTATGCTCTTTATAGTATTTGCGTAAATCAGATCGAAAATACATGAAGTATTGCAACTAGTAGACTATCCCCGTAACAATCAATTTAATCGTAATTTTTCAAATAGAACGAACGATTACTGCAACTTTAGGCGCTTTCTAATTATTAGTTTCAAGTTGTACTACGCGGTAGTATATAAATCACAAGACACTTCCCCTTTACCTAAACATCTTATCAAGACAAACAGCTAAGAATTGCCATTTCCTTTATATTAAAAGATTGCATAGCCTAATATACAGCCAATGCTATCTGCATAGCGCCCATAATAGCTAATGACATTACAGCTTTACTAAGATATTTAAGTGAATTATTTTTCATATCACAATCTATTAATTTTTCAGTAACCTCTACATACGTTATACGAATCATTTTGCTAATCTGTGATTAAAATATACTGATAAAAAATGTTTACAAAGTTGTTTCTTGTCTTAGGTTAATGAACGTGATGTCAAGAGAAATTTTACCTTTATTGCTTAGCATGCATATTTCGGCATGGATGCGGTGTGCATCGCGCCTTCTAGGAATCATTAATATGGGAAAAAAGGAAAAATTGTCAAGTTTTTCTCAGAATAGTACATGCTGCATAATTAGAAATTGAGACATCTAAAAGAAAAATATGTTAGAAACTAACTAAATGTATTGTATAAGATTATCAATCAAGTATCAGTACTATAGAGTATCTACAATAAACAGAGTTATCACTGTAATTTTAATTTAATGTACATATATACTGCTGACTTTCGGAGCGTAAATCTCTGTATGCCACGCATGTGTTAAGTGATAGAATATTATTGCCTGGTAAACTATGATTATTACTACTTTGATGTACTCGCAGCGCCAAATGTGATATATACCAATCACGAGATTCCAAATTTTAGAAAAATAATGGCTTTATTGAATCTTATACAAAGATTAACTACACATAGCTCCACTCTAGCCGAATACTACTACTAAAGACTTCTAGAAAGAACTAACTGAATAATCTAAAGTTGCATGCTTTTGTACTTTTCGTAGCATTCGCAGCTACAATCCGCATGGCAACCTTTTACCTAATATTACACATAGTTAAATTACTCTTAGAAAGACTATTCTACTGCAGATCATCATTAATCCAATATGGATACGACTACAGTACTTACGTAGACATTATTCACACCAGCCAAAGTACAATGAATTAACCATATCCTAATATATGATTTACAGTTCTATTTTTACCTATAGCCTCATTAGTAACTCAACACCTTACTGTATATAGTCATCTGTACTCTAGCATAGAGTCTAAACCACTACAGTCTATAGTTATAGCTACCAATTATCTCTTAGGATAAATATCTACCGTACATTATACTACACATGGCTAACAGTCTACAATCACAATACTAAGTTACATTACAGATGCCATAAATAGATCCTCTCGTGTAATAACCTGTCTTTAAAACCGTATGGATCCCCAAAATGGTTTGCTGCAGCATAGAACTACCTATATGTAAAAATATTGGAAGAGATATAAGTGAAACCTTACGAAATTGTCACATATGTCAATGTCAATGTACTGGATTATTTTTTCAATCTTGCCATGGAAATGTAACTAAGTTACTGCTTTTTGCAGCTGTTCGCATTCTGTTTCTCCTTTCATTGGCGGGTCAGGATTTTATATAAAAGTAACTGTACAGAACGCTACTCATGATTGATTGGTAATACAATAAATTTAAATCGATAGTAAATAGCTGTATTGGCTAAAGTAATTTTTGAGATTGCTAGGTTTACTATAGTAGAATATATACCGGTAGGTTACTTATCTTAACAAAATATTTTAAATAATTCATCGAAAGCCCGATAGAATCCTTAATCATTAAATTTCTTTATTTAATTTTAAGACTTTTCCTTCAAGTATAGGTAATTCAATAAATGAATGTAAATTTCTTCTCCACGTGTTAGGCAAGGGCAAGTATAATATTGTAAGATCCATAATAGCTTGCAATGATTTAATTTCTTCCTTTCGAGCTAGTAAACAGACCATTATGTACCCTTGATGCTTGCTGGCTTGCTGTGATATTATCAGAAGCACTGTTATTATGATTGCTACCCCCCACCCCCACCCCCCGCTAATCATTTTATTAAGTTGTTCTTGCATCATATGTAGGTAAGGCATATTAGCAGGAGGGCATAATCAGTAATTTTACGGTAATAACAAAACAAGAAAATAAATGTTATAGCCAAAACAATTATTGTGAAGCAGCTCGTTCTCAATGTTGCGTTGTTGCTATATTTAGTGAAGTAGATTTCGTTGCTATGAAAGTGTTTATTTGCTTCTTGTTTTTTTTTCGCTCAATTTTAAGTTCTAGGACAATTCTAGTTGACTATGAATCTTTGATCGCTTCTACGCTGGTTAAAACTCTCACAAAAAAAACAGCTAACCGATATTTTGTCGATAAGAATTGCCGTTGGTACAAAAGTACTGCAACATTTCCTGTTAGACGATACTCGGAGATTAGTATTATGACGAATTCATTTAGTATGTCTTTGATCAATCTAAACGTAAAGCACCAAGGCTCTATTATTTCAATTTATGCCAATTTTAGTTGCTATTGCGGCTATAATTCATGAATGTTTCAATTTCTCCTTTAAACAAGACATTTTGGATGGAATCGAAAGAGTTTAGTCTACCTCGTGTACCACACGGTGCTTAGTTAAACTATATTATAGTTATCAACGCCATCGTATAGTTATCTTAAATATCTTTACATCATACTCCGAAAGATGAACAAAAAACAGTGTTGGATAAATTTTACAACCCAGATCTTACCAGTTATAATTTCTATGTTGAAATATATGTCTGAAAACTGAATATCAAACAAGCATACTGGTTATGTCGATTAAATAGTTATACTTACATTTCAAGCCTATTTTGCCAACTGCGATATTTCTACTTTGCAGCTGTCTTTATACAGTATTTATAGAATATTAAGCTCTAGTATCTGTACCAGGTATAAAAGCGTAACGAAATGCAATCTGCTACTTGCCATAAATTGCATGACCCTAGCAAATCTGTTAATATATTTTTAGTACAGCGATAATACCGGTACCTTTCTAGACATAAAGATTTTAATTTTGAGAAAACGATCTACACTATCTTCGATTTAGAGTAAATTTTATTCCATTTTAAGTAAAATCTTCCATTTTTTTTAACCCTAGCTACATTCCCCAAACTTCTAGCTATTAAAGTTGACGTAAAAAATTTATTACTGTAACTAGTGAACTATCCTATATGTAGATGAGGACATACCAAGCTAATCTATTCATCGCTATGTACCGCCTTTATTATGTAAGTTACTTAATTACCAATTCAAAAGCACGTTATTATTCTAAAGGAGCTAAGAGAGAGTGTGTGGTATCGCTTATCAAGGGTTACTAGGCAAGTGAACTCACCACATGAATTAAGGATTGCAGTTTTAATGCACGATTGCTATTGCTTAAGTAAGGAAAGCTATATCCAAGGCACGAGAATTAATAATAAAAAAACACCAAGTTGAACTTATTTACATCGCCACTGTAATTCTAAATCAAGCAACCCTAATTTGAATAAAACTTTTCCTTGAATTTGTTTTAGTATTAATTCAGATTTCTATCATTTACTTTTAAAGTGATAAATCTTCGATTTAGGCCGCACTTTCAGACTCTCTCTGATTTAAGATAAACTTCCGAGGTAGGATCAGCATTACATATATTACACCAATGTTGTTCTCGGATACTTTTTGGATTACATGTTAAGTTATTGTAAAAGTTGATACTGTTAACCTAAGGAAAAATCATTTTCCCCTTGCTGATCGTATGGCAAACTTATTGGCAAATTTTTGCTGGTAGATATTTCGCATTAGCTACCGTTCCGATGATAATTATCGCCTTGGGATTCAAGCTATCCTGTTGTTTTTTAGAGAATTTTTCTGCGATCATTTCATTCATAAATTTTATCTCCATTATATTTATTCACTCATTCTCATTCAAACTCGATTAAGTGAATATAATATTTGTTGAAGAAATAACTGGACAACGGAAATTAAAAAAGTTTACTGCTTAATATGTACTGCCCAAGTAATTGACAAGAGACAAGAATTATTGTAGATGTTAGCGCTTTATTTTATCCTTACCATATAGTAGAATACGAGTACAATATTATATGAGATTTATTCTAATATGTATTTACGAGTACATAACGGCTACAATATACTATCTCCTCACTGTTCTAATATTATACCATAATAGAACATTATGAAATTTCAATATACTCGCATATCGAATCGGTAATATTCGTAGTTAGTTGATTAAATACAAAATAATCCAAATATTAAACTTAATAGCAATCGACCAATTCTTATACTATTTTGAGTCAAGTTCTAGTTGTAATTTCGGAGTATGATGGAGAATATTCTCAATACGATCGCAATAAGCATGCGATAAAAAAAATCTAGAGGAGTTTTGCATGCTACATCCATATTCAAAAGCGTTGTGTTGATATAATTCAAACTCTTCGTCTTGTAAATTCATTTGACGTATTTTTCTTTCCGATGTTTCATTAGGATACTGTCTGTGCGCTGCCGCATAAGCTAACAGTAAATCAAAAGGGCCTGATGTAGCTATTTCTTCTATCCACTCATTTACTGATGGAAGTTTATTAAAATCTCTGCATGTACTACCTAGCAGAATTATAGCTGGAGACTCTTTTCTTGAGCAAGTTGGGGATACTCTCTTATATCCAAATGAAGTAGCTTCGAAGTAGAGGAAGATCTCGTGCTCTAGTTGATAATTTCTATCTTTACTCTTTAGCTGAACGTGCATAACTATAGGAATCTTATAAAATAGCGCAGCTTTCATGATTACTTTCATCACCCAAAAGCAGGGTAAGCATGTAAGGTTGCGATGCATTGCTACATAGTCTGTCGAGATCATTCGCTTTATATTCTGATCCAAGTCTATTTGATATGTTAACTCCTGAACAAACTGGACTGAAAGCTCAGATAGACTTTTTCTTAAATGGCTTACTAATCTGTCGGCAAACATAGATCCCACACTGCTAATTTCTTTAATTTTTTTCGTATCTGTATACTCGTTCTTGATGAGAGGATATTCTTCCTTTGGCGGTCTAGGCATTTTCACCTTTGTAAGGAGATAAGATTGGATTAGATAAATTTCGTCGAAGTTTAACTTGATTTCGATATTGTCTCTTTGTAACAAATCGGCTAAAGAATATCCTTCTTTAGCTAGTTGACCGACATCTTTAATCAGATTTTGACATTTCAATTTAATTTGACGTATCTTGGGTAAAATAGCGGTACTGTTTTCTTGTGAGGGCTTGAAGAAGATAAGAGCGGTCTCGACAGCTCTAATTTGACAGGCGTTTTCTCCCACAAGTGGATCAAATTTGTTAATGTCATTCTTCCGTGAAAGTTCTAAAACTTGTTCCGCAGCAACTGTAAGTAGTAGATATTCTTTCAGACCATCTATCAATCTTTTATTTTTCTTAACATTGGGATCGTACGGAAGTAGTTGACTTAGGAGGAAATCTCTATGACAGTTTGAAAGAGATGGGGGATACTTTTCATACATGATTTCGTTTGAAATCATGTGTACTACACAATCACTTACTGGCATTGGATTTGAAAGCTAGCTCGAATAAAAATCCCCAAAATTAACATATGTTGTGTTTTACATTCGTTTATAAAGATATAATTAGCAGTGTTGTATCGTCATGAACTCCAGTAGGGGGTCCAGAATTCTAAGACGTTGTTCAATCATAATTATTAAGTGAAATACCGACCCTATATTATTATCAAGTTTTTTTTCTACCTGCTTTTCTCACTCCCAGTGCACCCTAAAAAAGGATACACCTGTAAATACAGTAGCTAAAAGAGTAAAAATTACAGTTGCTAGACGAACCTGCACAGATACTGTACTGTCTAATTGATATTATTTTCAGTATACAGTCCTGTCACTCAGTCGGCGATAGATTCCAACTCATGATGCTTTGCTTAGAATTACAATTAATAAAATGTTTCGTTAAATCTGCTAAGCCAAAGTGTAAAATACCTGCAGAATGAAGTTAATAAATTCTCCTTCCCAAAAATGCAGTCATACAGCCAGCTATGGAATATTAGAATAAAATCAGTTTTTTCCTAGCGATCCATAAGTCAGGGTACGAACGACCATTCAGACTTTAATGACTCTGATAAGTTGCCTATTTAGGTACAGATTTTTGGCTTACAGGCTGAATTTAATATCATCGCGGTTTTTCTTTAGTACACTATCCACTCCAGTATAGTCTGTACTGTTTATCCTGTATACCGCCATCACATCGTGCTCATGTCGCAAAAAGAACTGAATACCATGCAGTATCATAAAATTTTCACGAACGAAATAGATATCAAGTAACAATTTTGTGTAGATCTACTCTCTACTTTGTCTTCGCTAGAATGAGCCATATTAGTAATTGTAGTTTTAGTTACTGATTAAAAGCACATTACAGTGCCTAAATAACTAGAAATTATAAAGCAGCCATGGGCTTCTGCACTGTATAGTGCAGGACGTTATGTCATGATATCTTGTTTTTTAAGTAGCCTATATGCAATGCAATATATGGTAAAAATGACTAGGAATGACGATGTAACTGATGAATTTTATTATACTAACAAGTTGTTAGTAATAACGTATCTTAATAAGGATGCTCATATGATGAGAATATAATCCTTCTCAATACCTTCGCTCGTGACATATTCTGGAAATTAGACAGAACGTTAACTAAAGATTGGATCGCTATATAATGTGCTTAACTCTGCACTACACTAGCGGCAGTACACGTAAATATTTTGCGGCCAGTCCATAATGGGTATGTAATAATTGAGTCCTATCAACAATAAATCTTAGAGATTCACTGAAAGCCGGAGACGGTTCTTAATCATATGAACGTATGCTCAATACATTACTCAAAAGCTTCGCTTGTATGATGTAGGCATGCTAATTACTCTATCGAAATAATCATGAAAACGATTATCGTTAGCATTGATTGATTTAGTTTAGATAGAGTGAATTTGAAGTTAATCTAATGGTGACAAGAATACTGACGCCAATTGAACGATTATCTTTAATCCTAGTTTAATTACATATGTAAAATGGCTCTTTCCGTAAGCTCATCAAGGTTAGTATACATGCAGAAATTTTAGCAATCTTTTGTCCATAAGCGACTGGATAAAGAAAATAACCACTTCAGGCCCAGTTGATTTACTGTTAGCTTATGCAGCGGCACATACGCAATATCCTGATGAAATATCTGAAATTAACATTCAGTACAAAGAGTTTAAATTTTATCGAAAGAAAGCTTTGGAATGGGGTTGCTGATTGCAAAATTCTTCCCGTTTTTTTATTGCATATCTACTGTGATCATACCGAGAATATGCTATAAAAAAGCTCGAAATTAGAGCAACTACTTCATTTAAAGTAGCAACAGCCATTGTCGATTATCATAAAAATTCATCGTTGGACTATCTCATTTTTCGTTGCCGATTATACGGTAGTAAATGACCATTCTATAAGTCATAACGTGCCTTTATTAAATGTCCTATTTTAATGAAGAGATGTAGTAGCATACTGCAGGTATGAAGTGGATGTCAGAATAATACGTTATCGTGTACTCCATTCTACTATGCAATGTGCCTTAATTTGTTTATTTAATCTGCATCGTCTACTAAATTCTTAGCTAATGTAGGTTTTTTGAGCTAAGAGCTTTGAGCAGTAAATCACTTTTCATTACTCCACTTTGTTGTTGTTTCATAAATATATTGTATAAATTGATTGATATTTGAAAGAAAATAAATAAGTATAAATGAAATATATTTTAATAGAGAGAAGTTCTATCTGAGTCTCGCCTTGAATTCAAAGTGAATCCATTATCAACTAACAACTTTAAACCACTGTATATTTACAAGTATACGACGTAGTGAGCACCGCTCCATTGGGAATATTTTGCGAATATTAAGAAGTAAATTTTGCTCATTTTTAGATTTCAGAATAAAATATAAAAGCAAATTTCTATTATTAGTCAATAATCACTGGTACATATACGGTCGATTCAACCAGTATCCTAGCCATGCCGTAGCTATGATCTACTAACGACTGTATCACAAATTGTAGCCTAGCGACGTAATGAGTACAATAATTGCTCGAAGGTCGATCAAAACATTTATTCGATTAAAACTATCAAACTAATAATTATTATCACCGCAAAACAGAACATGACAGCAACCAATATGCAGTATATATGGGATGCATATGATTTCACTACCGCCATACAGTATACAGTATCGTAGTATTGAGTTCATCAAGTCTCGTAAAGACTATTAATGTAAGTAGTCATTGACCGATATTATTTTATAATCATATCACAGTATAATATATTAAGGTATAATGCGGCTTAATTCTTGAGATCAACTACTTACAACAGAAATAGAATAAGTTAACTAAACACGATAAAAATACGATATACGACAGTATGTTGCACACAAGCTCTGTAGTGTATTAATTAGTCGGATTAAATACCGTAAATTTCATATATTAGTTAGTGCAGATTTTAGCAGATTGAATAACCTCACAACGTATTTGTAGTCACTATCTTTGCATCATGAATCAATCTCGATATAGAATAATTATTAAGAATAAACTATAACATAGTTGGGTTTTAATAGATTATCGAAAGAGAGTCGTGCAAATTTCCAGCCTTCATGCTCCGTCCTCAATATCGCCTACAGAAGTGTATACGTACGCTGTACAGTGTATAGCTATTAAATACTAGTTGAGCCCTGGCTCGTGATACTTGGCGTCCTATACTTTTGCTCTTTACTTTGCCTATACGTGTATGTCCTCTAAACTTGCTCTCTAGATTAAATATAGAAACTGGAGATTATACGAAAATTATCGGATTAAGCTACTTATTTTCTTCACGCAACGCTGCAAAAACTAGGATTTGCTATTAAAAATATTGCATCGAAATTTATCGGATCAAGCTACCTATTTTCCACACGCAATGCTGAAGAAACTACAATTTATTATTGAAAAATATGATAAAACAGTTAGCAATTCCTTTAGAAATATCGCTAAAATGATAAAGTATGTCAGGCTATGGATAAAGAATTGTTGATTTAGTACTTTTAATGGTACTGAACTTTCAATTTTGCTATATTGCGACAACGATATTTTGATGGGTAGAAGTCCTATCAGAGATTGGATTTAAATTGAAATTAAATCTACTAATAGCATAATCAAATGTAGGTTCCACAAGACTAAATTCAGGCTGATGTTATATTTATTTATAAGTAATTCAAAGTGATAAGCCGTCAAAATCGATTAATATTAAGTCAGACTACTGCTAGCGTTAGTCAACCTATTTTTATACTAGTTGTAGTACATTTATTCACTTACGCCTCACTAAAAGTAGCTTATAAAGGAAATATATCTTATTCAAACAACTTGAAGAATAAAAACGGCGAAATCCTATTTACATATTCCGTTTACATTGGTAGCTGTGAATTAAGTCTTGACATTGTTTAAATGTAACTTGTATAAATAAATAGTGTTAGTATCTCTGTAAATTTTTTTACTAGAATTTTTCGTCAGATTAATGGAGGATGAATCATGACCGTATGAATAAAGGCCAAGTCGCAGATGCAGAAGTATTAAATTCTTCAATATAAAGATGCATACAGAATTCTATTCTAATGATATACATACAGCAAGGCATTACTTTTATACAGTTTTGTGAAAAATTACGACGACAAAGCTTACTAATCTATATAATCACGATATAGTTATTGCGGTATAGGTATGCTGATCGTGATGACGAGGGCGATCTATATGATGACTGAACTAACGGGTGAGGTATGCGAACAGTTGTTATGGTCTAGGTATGTAGCGAAGGTATCGTATACCTAGACTATAACATAGTTTTCATGCTGCGATCACTATAATCTTATTAACAACTGATTAAATGTTTATCTGGAGCATAGCATTTCCTATGCCTATACGGGTATTTTAAATTATCAAGAATTTGAAAGATTCATACTCCTATGCAACAATAGAACTAATCATGCTTGGCGACCTTAATTTATCTTCACAATCCAGGCCATTCACGTTATACGAGATAACTTTGATAGTTATGTTAGCATCTCAAAAATACTATGGCAGAGAATACAATTGCTAGCTCAACTTTCACTTCCGTTGCACAACATAGCCGTATAACGCATTTTGATATTTCTATAGGGATTTATTCATAGCAAACACGATCAGAATACATTCACTGCTATTTTCAAACCATAATAATGAAAGAACAATTCATTCATATTAATAGTTGCTATCGCTATGTTATTTGTTCGTTTCAACTTTATGAAAGTAGAAGCTATTGTTAGCTCTTAAATAGTGTATAAATAATGTACAAAATAAGATGTCGAACTAATACTGAAATTAATTTTGTTAGATTCAATTATGAAAGTAAAATTTTGTTTTTTTAATAAATAAATATGATGAAGAGGCGGTGTTTCCTTCCCAGCTTCTTTTATTTTAGT